TCACAGGAGGAAGTGTCTTATACTTAAACCTAAATTGAATTGATTGACATCTCCAATATCAACGTAAGAGCTTTTGCCTCTTCGGGGGGTGCTAACACTTAACCATAAACTTTATAGTTTACTTTCTCCGTCTTTATATGTAGATATAACTTTTCTCCGTTAATCTCCTCTACTTTTCTCCGTCACGTTGTTTCCATAGCAACAACCTCTTCCTGTCAACAGCGCTAACTCTCCTTCAAAATAAAAGCATGTCCATACAAAATAGGAAGACAAGCCAAATTACACTTAAGACATGTATACAACTGCAACGAAAGTAACAAACACCATGCAATATCCTTTTCAATTTAAAAGAACACAAATTGGGTTATTTACATTAACAAATAACTATAAAACAAGTGCACAAAATGAATGCCTTGTATAAACCTCCTCCCCCGCGCTGCGCGCGCCGAATATTAGCTGCTGATTACTACCGAATATCCGGAGCTTGAAAAAGGGTATTCGGTACATGCCCTACTGTTAGCTGCCGCCTAAACAGATTATGGTAATCTTGCACTTAGATTCTGGGGGTTTAGTCCTAAAGGTAGGACGGCCGTTTTCCGGAGCCTTATCAGCATCGGAGCTCGGTATCGGAGACGACCTAGATATTAACGTTGGTTTTATCGAAGTTTTACCTCTAAATAGTACTTAAGTACAGTACTTGAGTAAATCACTTAGTTACTTCTCGCCTCTGCCATGAACCTAAGAAGTAGCTGTAGATTTATTTTGTTGTGTCTGTCGGTTGTATTGAGTTATCATGTTTTGTGTCAGCTGTAGTTGTGTTGATTATTTCAGAGACACAGCCGGAGAAGGAGCTCTGAGAGCAGCATGGAGGAGAACAAAAAGACCCCTGGAGCTCAGGTCAGTGTGCACTTCATCACAATATATTCCTAACACTGTTATCCCCAAATGAAAGATCACAACCTGTTTAGAAAATACAATATTAATGCACAATATGGTTGGATATAGGTTAGAACATTACTACTTAGTAATGTTCTAACATTTATCACATTACGCAAACACAACTGAACATTCCCCAACATTAGACATATGGCAGATTAAAAAATAATGCACTTTTTTTTTTTTAAAGTGTGCAGATACTAGAATCATCAGTTTAAAGTACAGACCAAGAATATTAGCAAATTCAACAAAAATACAATAAAAGCACATCCACAAACAGAGCAGAGTAGCTTACAATTCTCCAAATAGATTAACCAATTTCAAAATGTCCTCAGTAGTAGTAGTAGTTTAGTCATTTCACTTTAACCTTCCATCACTTCTGCAATGTCCCCACTTTTTATAAATTCCAAAAACAATTCCCAAATGGTGTAAAATTCAGAAGCTTTCTTCCTTAGTATATATGTGAGTTTCTCAAGAGCTAGACTCAAAGTTAAATTGTTTAACCTGTGGCTCAGGGAGGGGCAACCAACATTTTTCCAACACAAAGCAATTGAGCGCCTGGCTTGTAGAAGGCATAGGTTAACCATTTTTCTTTCCCTAACCGATAGTGAACAGTCTTCTGGATAAATGCTTAAAATACAAAGTTTAGGGCTTAAAGGGGTTCGCAACGAGGTTATTTGGGAAATGTATCTTGTCACCGAAGTCCAAAATATTTTAACCTCTACACAATCCCTCAAGCAATGATACCTTGATGGATCTTGCATTTATAACATAGATCAGGAATGTTAGGGTTAAACATCACAAGGGTGATGTAAGTTCTTGTTATCCAATTATATTGTATTAATCTAAGACGTGTATTAATAGTGTGCCTTTGAACAAATTGTACCCCAATCATCCTCTGAAATATCCTCTGAAATATCCTTTAATACGTCTTTTACTTTCTGAGTTGTCTTTATGGTTTGCAACCATTATGTTATAAAATTGAGTAACCAGTCCTTTGCTGTTACAGTTTTTTATAGACAGTATCTCTACTGTGGACGTAGGAGGTTGTTGCAACAAGTTGTTTAAGTTTGCCAATATAAAACTCCTAACTTGCAGGTACTTGAAAAAGTGTTTCTGTGGCAGGAAATACTTTGTTTTCAGCTCGTCAAACGATATTAGGTTGCTGTCCTCATATAAATCTAGTAGCCTTACAATACCCTTACTTAATCATGTTTGGAAGCCCATGTCATTTTTACCTTGGCTGAAGAGTTCATTGCCCCAAATAGGTGAGAAACAAGACAACATTGGGGAGTCTCCTATATATTTATGTGCTTCATGCCAGACAAACATTTTATTTTTCACAAAGGGATTCATTGTTTTTTTCCTTAGATTTTTAGAAGGAGCAGAGAATAGAAAGATATCCAGCATCAAACCCTTTGAAGACAACAACTCAACTCGTAACCATGGCAAATCAACTCCTCTTTAAAACCAAAACATTAAATGTTGGTAGTTGTAACCCTCCCCTATCGTAAGGTAAATACAACAGAGAGAGTCTAAGTCTCGGCTTCCTGTTATTCCAAATACATTTAGAAAGTAGCTTTCTTATTTTAGAGAAAATGGAGGAGGAGGTGCTAGTGGGATGGATTGAAAAAGATATAAACATTTTGGCAATATACTCATCTTAATTATATTAATTCTTTCCACTAAGGACAGAGGCAATGTTGTCCACCTAGTGGAATCTTCTGACACTTAAGCTAACATGGGTTTGTAATTAGATGCACTGAGAATGTCTATCTTTGGTGTAATTTTAATACCCAGATAAGCAAAACCGTCTATGGCATTTACAAATGGGAAAGATAATTTTGGATTTCTTCCCTCCTGTTCATTGAGAAACATAATAGAGGATTTATCTTTGTTCACCTTAAAACCAGAGATTTTACCAAATTGATTGATTACTTTTAAGAGGGATTTTGCAAGACCTGATCAAAACACTATGGCATCATCTGCATACAATGCTATATGATGCTCTAGGTGCCCTGTCTTAATACCATAAATCAAAGGGTGTGATCGTATGGCTATTGCCAATGGCTCCATATAATAGCTATCACAAAAAGTAGAGGCGAAATATGAGAGCCTTGTCTCGTGCCGCGAAAGAGTATAAATGGTTGTGAAATACAATTATTGGTTAATAATAATGCGGACGAATCAAAAAATATAATTTTAATCCATTTAAGAAAGTAGTCATCAAGACCAAAGCGCTTAACCTGTTACGCACCGCCCCCCCCGGTACTGGGCGGATAAACGCGTCATTTGCAGGAAACAACGTCTAAGGAATCTTAATATTTAATAAACTATGAATGTTTTATATCCATGTAACGGGAAGAAACTCAGCTAACTGATCTTTTTAAAAATGTTTCTCCAAAAAAAACCACAATGCTAACACTCAGCCTCTGAATTAGCCACGAGCGAAAAAATTCTGGAGACACAGAATCTAGTGGTGCCCACTTCAACACTCAGTGATAAACATTTGCGACGCTATAAACAAAAGCGTACATCATAACATGTGGAGCTAAGTAGCTAGAAACGCTAACATGGCTTACCTTGGTCAAAACTGGTCTTCAATGGCATTAAAACGATAAAAAAACGATGCTGCAGTTAATCCATAGGTTAATCCAATGTGTCTGTGTCCTCTTTGAAATGATTTCTGATAATCCATAAGCAATAAAACTGCTTTTTCGTTTCCAAATGTCAGAGCTAGAGATAGGTCCACTCTGACGCAAAATTACATGCGCGCAGCCCCCACCTTTTCTCTTCACAACGTGTGTGTGTGGGGGCCTCCCCCTTCGATTCTATTGGCTCTAACGGTCAGAAAGAGGTGTCAACCATCCAAATCGACCAAGGGGGGCCAGAGATATGGAAAAAAAAACATTTTCACCCAAATCACCTCAGAGGTGGGGTGGTTTTGGCTAAACCTCTCTAAAAAGGTCAAATGTCACTTGTTTTGCATCAATCTTGATACAGGGTACTTATTATATGTTGTACTTTGGATTCCTATAGCTTTTAGTCTACTAACCCATCATCCAAGGGTAGTTTTCACTATCTGTAAAAAATAATTTTTGGACGGACACTATAATTTACATTTTTTTACTATGTTAAATCTGAATTTACTTTAAAATAAAATCATCTATATCGATTCAGACATCCAACTCACAGGTGTATCATTGCTTTGAGAAGAAAAGATTATTAATGTACCCCTTTTAGAAGTGAAGATATAGTCATTTGTTCTGTGCTTGTCATTTTCGAGCCTGAGGCCTGAAAAACAGGCTCAGGGCTTAACAGGTTAAGCTTAACAAATAGCTCTACATCCCTGGCCGAAATGTCCCTAAAATTAAGTCCGAGTTCGAAATATATTTCAAATAATGTATGCACTGCCATTTCCCCACATACACATAACAGTCTGCAATGAAACGGTTGTCTCCTGTGCGCTCCACTTCTTACTTGGCGCACCGGGAACTTTCTCGTGCGAACAAGATACTTTCTCTCTCATTTATTCATTTCCCTTTTAGGGGCTTCGTACAATACAATACAATACAATACAATACAATACAAATGCAAATATTTTATCCTTTCGAGTGATCTGTCTCAAGCCTAAGTCAAGTCTGAAGTCATGAATACCAAGTCAAAGTCAAGTTGAGTCTTTTATCAATGTTATTCAAGCAAGTCTCAAGTAAAAAAATATGTGACTCGAGTCCCCCACCTCTGTTATATACTGTTAGAATGTTGCTGTAATATAATAAACATAAACAGTTAGTAAAAGTAGTATTTTTTTTTTTTAACTGAAAGTTTGTATTAAGTGAGTTTTTATTGTGTTAACTGTATATGTATTTATGTTTTTTAGATTTACTTTCTCTCTTTCTCTGTCCGTCTGTTTTAGAAACCGAAAGTAAGAGAGAGACGTCACAGCTGTCAGCAATGTGATGAATCCTTTACAAAATCTGGAAATTTAAAACGCCACCTGCTTATTCATACTGGAGAAAAACCGTACAGCTGTGCAGAGTGTTGCAAAACGTTTGTGAGATCAGTTTCTCTCATAAACCATCAACGCATTCACACAGGAGAGAAACCGTACAGCTGTGAAGAGTGTGGGCAAACGTTCACTACATCAAGTCTTCTCAAAATCCATCAGCGTGGTCACACTGGAGAAAAAACATACAGCTGTGAAGAGTGTGGGAAAACGTTCATTCAATCAAGTCTTCTCATAATCCATCAACGTATTCACACAGGAGAGAAACCGTACAGCTGTGAAGTGTGTGGGAAACCTTTCAATCAATCAGGTTCTCTCAAAATACATCAACGTATTCACACAGGAGAAAAACCGTACTGGTGTGAAGAGTGTGGGAAAACATTCACTAAATCAAGTAATCTCCAAATCCATCAACGTATTCACACAGGAGAGAAACCGTACAGCTGTGAAGAGTGTGGGAAAACGTTCAATCAATCAGGTTCTCTCAAAATACATCAACGTATTCACACAGGAGAAAAACCGTACAGCTGTGAAGAGTGTGGGAAAACGTTCACAACATTAGGTGCTCTCAAAACACATCAACGTGTTCACACTGGAGAGATACCGTACTGGTGTGAAGAGATGCTGTTTTCTCCCTAAACCAGTGGTTCTCAAACTTTTTCCGTCAGGCCCCCCTTTGGAGGAAAAAAAAATTCGGGCCCCCCAACACAAATAGTCACGAAGTGGGCCAAGTCAACATTTATTAAATACATCAATATTAACGTGAGCATTCCTTTATCACTTTGTTAGAACAGTGATAATAAAACAATTCTCCAGAAGTCTGTGTGCTCAAAAAAATAAATACATAATATAATTGTGCAATCCCTTTGCAAGAACAATAAGTTATACTTTGCCACTTTGCAATCTGTGCAAAATAATGTAAAGAAAGAAAATGCTGATATTTGGCAGAGAAAAGTGTCTTATCACAGCATTAGTGGCTGCAATGAGCCTGTTTTGCACAGCACATTTCTTCAAAACGGGATTGCAGGCTCAGTGGCGGCGCCAGAGATTTTCTTTTGGGGGTGCTGTGGGGTAGCTTGATGTTTCATAGAGGGTGCTCAAACATTTAGGGTTTCCCATTAATGTACCGGTCGCTACAGTGGAATTGTGTACTGCAACACTCCCCACGCACATACACAGTGTATCCGCGACTGTTAAAATGAAGGCTCAATAATCAACTCACGGCATATAGGTGTAAGCAGGGGTAAAGTGCTATTTTTATAAGTGGGGAGTGGGAGTTAAATATTGAAGTTAAATGCCTCAATCTGGTGCACTTTGAGAGCAAAATGAAGAGATCTATGGATACATCTCTCAACACCCATATGAAACAGAACTGTAAACAGATTTTATTTTTCTTTATGGATATTTTACTAATCACTCCCCTTTTAAACTGTATTCTTGTTTTACTGTCATATAGTATTGCATAACTGTTTTTCATTTATTCTCTTATTTTTGTATACCTATAATGATCATATAAACGTGTGCCTCGAAAATAATTGTTTACATTAATCGTGACCAAACCGTTTGAGACCCACTGAGATAACTAATCTCAGTGAGTAATCTAAACACTGAGAGTCCTTTACCTCACTGAGCTGAGGTTATCTGAGCCTCTCAGTCTGACAGGTGAGAGTTCTCCCTCCACCTTGTTGTTGAAAAAGCTCCTTATATCCGTTAGCGTAGCTAGCTAGCACCAGATGCTAACAACAACAATCTCCGGTACCGGTGCACACTCTTTCTCTCGCGCGCGCACGCACAAAAAATGGCTCGTTCCACACACACACAGAGCCGAGCTTGAATAAATCACAGAGACCCAGACGTTCTTGTAATGTACTGTAGCATGTTATTTTTGAATCAATAATCTTTCAAATTATGAATTTCACACATACAAAAAAGAAATACATACATTTCTTGGGGGTGCTTAGTGGGTGCGATGGCTATCTTAGGGCGACCTGTAGCACCCCCTAGCGCCGCCCTATTGACCTTCCATCCTCAAAATGTACATTACACACCTGTGTCCTACAGCGCCCCTCATAGGTTTCCCTATGTTCCACTGTTTGGTTAATAAAATGTTGTGACTTAAACTTGATTAGGATGTTTTGATAGTTCCTGTGAGTTGGCAGTCTGTTCTGGTCTAAAAAAAAAAGAACCAATGATGAATGTATCTAGAAAATATTGTTAGATGTGCCAAGAGCAAGGACTGTCTTAGGTAAGACAGCTTTTATGTGCACAGCTCCACTTGCTTGGAACCAATCTTCAGCAAGAATTGAAACTGAGCAATCCTCTGCATGTTTTTAAAGCTAGGCTAAATGAGATGCTTGTTGATACTATGGATACTTGTAAATGTCTATAACTATGTAAATGTATCCTGTAAATATAATGTATGATGTCCTTTATTGTTTTATGTTTCATGTGGAACCTATGTGCTGCAGGTCTCCCTTGAAAAGAGATCTATGATCTCAATGGGACCAATCTGGTTAAATAAAAGTTTGAAATGAAATGAAATATTCCTGATGTTTTCAGTTTGATTCTGTTCTCTTTTGTTTAAATTGTCAGAATTTACCAAAAATAAAAAAGGCCTTAGAAACAGACTCACATCCCTGCATATTTTTTGTGTTTTTCAGCACATTATAAACATGTCATTCCCTTGTTTTAGGGCTGCTGACTGCTGGATGAAATGTATCACTCAAACTTTAATTTTAATGAAAAATATACTTTTTAACTCAGTTTGTTTGACCTGGTTTGTTCCCAGTGAAGGACTCCAGCTCACAATGAGGTAACTGTTAACCTGTTAAGCCCCAAGCCTGTTTTTCAGGTCTCAGACTCGAAAATGACATTCCCAGAACATATGACTATATCTTCACTTCTAAAAGTGGTAAATTATCTCAATCTCAATCTTTATTTATTTATATAGCACATTTAAAACAACCTTCAGTTGACCCAAAGTGCTGTACAGGCAATAACTACAATATTAAATAACACTAATAAAACAATAATTAAAAACATGATAAAAAGCACAATAACTAGAAACATATTTAAAAAAACACATACAAATGTAAAAATGTAATGTTCAACTAGTATTAAAAGCCAGTGCAAAGAGGTGAGTTTTTAGCTGAGATTTAAAAAGTTCAATAGACTCAGCAGTCCGGATATGTGCTGGGAGGCTGTTCCACAGTCTGGGAGCTGCAACACTGAAAGCCCTGTCACCTCGGGTTTTTTTCCTGCCACCGAGGGAACCCACCAACATATTTTTGCTGAGCTGATCGCAGTGCTCTAGCTGGAGCATGGCGGTGCAATGGCAAAACTCAGACAGGTAATGTGGTTGCCAGTCCATGCCAATGATTTAAAAACAACAATTAAGTACTTGAAACTGGATCCTGTAACTGACAGGAAGCCAATGAAGGTCTGCCAAACACGGGTGGTGATGTGGTCATAACGTCTCTTCCCAGTAAGAAGGCGTGCAGCCACATTTTGGACCAGCTGGCAGGCGGACTGATCAAACACTTATCAACACCCAATATACAGGGAGTTACAATAGTCTAAACGAGACGTTATAAATAGGTGGATTAGCTCTTCAAATTCCTTACTAGGAAGATAAGCCTTTACCTTCCCCAGAAGCCGCAGCTGGAAGAAGCTTGTCTTGACAACTGAGCTTATTTGTTTGTCGAATTTAAAACAGTTGTCAAAGATGACTCCAATCTTTCTGACAGAGGGACGGCTGTAGGAGGCTAAGGGGCCGAGTACACTATTAAAGCCATCCAGGAGTTCAGACTGTCCAAATATTATAATCTCTGTCTTGTTTTCGTTGAGAGTCAAGAAGTTGATTTCCATCAATGATTTATGTCTTTCAGACAGCTAAGCAAGGCAATCCTATATTCCTTATTTGCTTTTATAGGCAGGTATACCTGCAGATCATCTGCAAAGCAATGGTAAGAAATATTATGCTTTTTAAAAAATTGACCCCAGAGGTAGTAAATACAGACTGAACAAAATGGGGCCCAGGATAAAACCTTGAGGGACCCCATATGCTAGTGGGGCTGCAGCTGAAGAATACTGGCCAAGATGCACAGAAAAAGGTCCTTTCTGACAGATAGGATTGAAAACCATTTTAGGACACTTACCTTTAATTCCAACACACAGTTCATGGCGTGATAAAATAATTTGGTGGTCAATGGTGTTCAAAGCAGCAGACAAATCTAAAAGCACAAGCACAGCAGAATTCACAGGAATCAGCAGTTAAAAGAAGAGTCATTAAAAACTCTTAGGAGAGCAGTTTCTGTGCTGTGGCGTGATTTAAAACCAGACTGAAACTTCTCTGATATGCAGTTTAAAACAAGGTGCAACTGCAGTTGCGCTAACACCACTTTCTCTAGGACTTTAGAGAGGAAGGGCAGCTTAGAAATAGGTCTAAAGTTGGAGAGAACAGAATGATCAAGGTTCTGTTTTTTGATAAGAAGGCTGCATACAGCCTAATCTTTTTTCTCAAAGCAATGATAAACCTGTGAGTTGGATGTAGAAAAGTATGAATCAATATAGATGTTTTTATTTAAAGTAAATTCAGATTGAACATAGTAAAAAAGATTAAATTATAGTTTCCGTCAAAAAAAAAACCCATTACTATAGGAAAACCACCCTTGAATGATGGGATAGTAGACTAAAAGCTTTTATAACATAAGTAACCCTGTATCAAGATTGATGCAAAACAAGTTAAATTTGACCTTTTTAGAGAGGTTTAGAAAAAAAGAACCACCTCTGGGGTCATTTGGGTAAATGCTGGTAGTACAGTGCCATCCCAAAGAAAGATTTGACCTTCTGCTGAGATGGAGTACAGCCGTCACCGTCCATAAGGTCCTCTTTCCTGAAAGCAGATATGACCCTCCACCTTCCCCTGATCGACTGAGACACCATCACTGCTCACCACATGGCCAAGAAACCGCACAGACCTGCGAAGGAAGTGGCACTTCTTCTGAGACAGCTTCAGATTGTTAGCTCTGAGACGTGAGAAGACCATCTCGAGTCGACTCAGGGCTTCCACTTCAGATTTAGCAAAAACCAGCAGGTCGTCCATATAACAGAGGAGGCTGGGGAAGTTCAAGTCACCAAAAACACTCATCATCATCCGCATAAAGGATGCAGGGACTGTTGCATAGCCCCTGGGGAAGTCTGTTGTACTCATATAAGCCCAATGGTGTTGTGAAGGCTGTGTACCGTTTGTCAGACTCATGGAGGGGGACATTGTAGAAGCCTGACGTGAGATCCATGGTGCTGAAAAAGGCATTCCCTCCAAGGGCGGACAAGGCAGTCTCCCTGGTGGGGCAATGGGTGGGCGTCTTTGAACTGTCTTGGCATTCAGCCAACGAAGTCAGTGCAGAGTCCTCAATTCACCTTTCTTCTTCCAGACCAGAACCAGCGGGGAGGCATACTCGCTGACTGACTTGCTTGATAATGCCCTTCAACTCCATCTCAGACAAGACTTCTCTCAGTTTGTGGTAGTGTGCTGGAGGGACGCGACAGTAGGGGAGCCGG